GTTGATGAAATTTCCTTTTTCGTAGTTTTTCTGGACAAAGTGCAGAATGGCTGGAGCTATTCCGTGTACAACATAATTAGCGCTCAATCGCATTAGGAGACTTCGATTGCGTTCCATTGGATCTCGATCGCATCATCCGTTCGCGAGAAAATGTTAGCAAAATTATATTTCCCTGATTTTCTGGAAAAACTGGAGAACAACACTAGGGCGATTCTATCCATAATTTGATCAGTGCTGAATGTCGTCATGACGCTTCGATTACACTATATTAAATCTCGATCGCATCTTTCATGCACGAGAAATCGCTGAAGAAATTTTTTCTCTCAAATTTGTTTCTGGAAAAACTGGAAAACGGCTGGAGCAATTCCACCTATAATCTAATCAGCACCCAATGGCATGGAAACGCTTCGATGGTATCAGTTTCACTTCGATCGCATCATCCATATTTGAGAAATCGTTGACGATAAATTTCGGACAAGAAATCGTTGACGATAAATTTCGGACAAGAAATCGTTGATGAAATTTCCTTTTTCGCAGTTTTTCTGGAAAAACTGGAAAACGGCTGGAGCAATTCCATCTATAATCTAATCAGCACCAAATGGCGTGGAAACGCTTCGATGGTATCAGTTTGACTTCGATCGCATCATCCATTTTTCAGAAGTCGTTAACGATAAATTTCGGACAAGAAATCGGTGATGAAATTTCGGCTGGAGCAATTCCTTCTCTAATCTAATCAGCACTAAATGGCGATAAATTTCGGCCACGTACATCGCCAGTAACACACACACACACCCACACGCACACGCACACGCACGCACACATCCTCTCGAAAATGGTCCAGGATTACTCTGGAGGCCTTGAAACGTGAAGATATGTTGAAAATTTCCATATTGATTTTCGGGGTCATGACAATAACTTCCTATAGAACAGGAAGTTAATAATATGTTTGTTTTTTTAAAAATATTTTTATCTATTGGAAATTCCAGATATTTAATCGACTCTAACATTCCTGTATTTATTCTAATTATTCCTATTCATCTTACGCCTATGCTTTCGATATAGAATTGGATATATTAAATATTAAATGAAGACAGTAACACGAAAGAATAATCCTAACCTTTTTTGCAGACTCGCTCGTGCAAGCCTTCGAGTAAGCTCGCTCGGGCGCACCCTCTCGGATGCTCATCCACGCGTTGCCTACACGCTTACGCGCAGGGTCTTCGCGACCCTAAGTGACGTCCCGTAAAGTCCGAACGAGCCCGATGTGATTTAGATTTCTACTAGGGAAATGGAATTTCGACAAATTTTGAATAACTTTTTCACCACCTTGAGCAAAAAAGCAGCACCCACGGGAGTTTATTTCTAAATGAGATTCAAATGATTAAATAACAAAAGTTGATTTAATAAATTTTCCCATTGCAATTAATTTAATATCCCGTAGTAATTTCTAAATATTGGAAACTTCGTTGAATTGTTGAATTGTACGATATGTGTAAATATCAATCGATGATAATTCTACACGGAGAGAAAAACACAGGAAAAATTACGTGACTAATCACGTAATCGTGGGCTGGAGTGTCATTTCCTTAATTTTTATTGGAGAATTTGGGAAAAAATGAGAGACGAACAGTGAATTTTATTATTTGCTCTGGAAAATTTACGTGACTGTCACGTAATTTCTTACGAACTTGTAAAATTTACCACAGTTCCGGTTAAAATTATTCCGAGTGAAGTAAAAATTATCTAGTTTCACTTGAATTTTACGTGACGTACCGTAATTTTTACGTGACCGAATTGAAAAATTCCTAGACGGCGTTGGTACGACTGTTGGTCATACCCGATCGCGAATCATTGCCTATGTTCGGATCACGCCACCGGCAAATTACTATTGTCGGAAGGATAATTAGTATATTGTGCCTCTAGGGAGTAAAGTATTTTCTGACGAAATGTGAGTATCACATGAGTCAGAAAATACTTTATTTCCGTGAGGCACACAATATTTTATTCTCATAGGGACTGGAAACGGCGATCTAACCGAGCGAAGCGAGGTTAGAATCGTACTTTCCAGTCCGGGCAATATTTACGGAACTGAGTATCGTTATTTTTCTACCTCCAAATGTGACTTTTTGCCGACCGAGTGGTAAAATGTTCTGAATGATCGGCACTTTTTCCGATTTTACATTTCGCCGCACGTTTACCTTTCACACATGAATTTTTACGTAACTTTTTACGTATTTTTTCCAGTATTTTTCTCTCCGTGTAGTATTCCATGTATCGTTCGTCTCACTATGAATTGTATGAGTCACTCCACAATTTCCATTGTTATAGTAACCAAAGTTCTTTTCTCTGTGATGTTCGGATAAAGCCCAATTACGGAAATAGAAAAAGATGAAAAAGTTGGCATCAATGTTTTTTTGCTTCCGAATGGAAGGTTTGTTTTCGGCCATATTCCAGTCCCCAATTTTTTGTGTTAGGGTAACTAAATCTAGCCTAAAAAGTGCGATTATCTAAATATAATATATAAGAATATTATATAATAATATATAAGTCCATGACAATCCAGAAGAAGACGTAATTTTTCACTGATTTTTTTTTCGTTTTTTTTTATTTTTTCACGAAGGATCAATAACATTTCATGAATTTTTCTGTGAATGTAGATAAATATATTTATATATTTATATTTCCATGCGCTTTATCCATCGACACCAATTGAAATTGGCAGAACGATTTGGAAATATTCCTATTTCTTTCGAAAATGGATTTTCAACGATAACTCAAGTAGTTATCATCAGAGAGAAACCAATGATCGCTTAAAAAATTGATATTAAGAGGCTCTTAATCGTATCAGAATATGAAGAGAATCGCATCATTTGTTATTAAGTTATAGCATATTGTACATGTGATTTTTTTTTCATCTTCTTTGTGATCAATGGAAAATATTATGAGCAAGATCAATGAAATGACTGTTCAATTTTTTTTTCAAAGCATTCTTGTTCAAATCAAAAGATGATGGAACTACCCTTATTATTTTCCAATTTTCAGAAAATCCATTCCGGGAGCATGTTACTAATTTCGTAGCAACAAAAGTTATACGCAGTTCCTTATGGCATTCCCTACTTGTTTTAAAATAGCATTGAACACGAAATTCTTTGAAAAAAGTTTTAAATAAACTTTGAAATTCCCTATAGACGAAATTGGATGCCGTTCATTTATACGCATTTTCCCTGCCAACTTGGAAAAATCTTAATCGCAACGCGTTTTTATAAAAAAATTTTTAGCAGGAAATTTTCTCAAATCAGCGGGATTAGTCGTGAAGTAACTTCAAATTAGACGATAGTCCAAATTTGATGCTACGTTTATTCTGCCAAATATACGAAGGTGACTGGCTGCCTTCAATTCCGGCCAAAATCTTAGAGATGTTATGATTTTTTTTTATAAAAGAAGTCACCTGAAGAAATATTAGATTGTTCAGAAAATCGCAAATCAGGGGGAACATACTTTAATGAGCCGTTATGCATTTTTTAGGTTAAGTTTTTCAAAAAGAAATTTGTTAGATTCAGGAGTGGCTAGAATACTATTGATAATATGAATAACAAACCTTTCAAAAGAATGAAACTTCCATCAAATCATCAGTATTATTGTATGATTTGTTGAAATTTTTCTTTAATATCCAATTTGGTAGATTAGGAGCTTCACCCTCAAGTTTACGGAAACTCACAGGAGTTATAGTTTTTAATGAAAATATGAACTATTTCAATTGTCAGACATCTGAAATCGTTAATTCGCGAGATTTCATGATTTTTTGGGTGAATTTTCCCAGGTCACTTACATTGTGCGTGTTTCTCTGTATTGTTCTCCTCATGCGAATGCTTGCGTTTACCTGATTCTATGAAGAAACTAATGGAAAACCGAGAACTAGCGTCCAAACCGGTACATCAATCGATTTTCCGACACCTAAATTTTATTTTTATGTATGAATTTTTCATGTAGGATGATCTTTACTCTCGTGGGAATGAAAAATAGATGAGACACTTAGTCGATTTATTTACCCTTAATTTTTAATTAAAAAATTTTTAGAGAAATTCCCAACAGAGCATTTTATGTCCATCGTAGTTAACGTGGAACTACTAAAAAATAAAGAAATCGATTCTTCAAAAAATCATACTCAAATTTATTTCCTTTGAAAACTTTCAAATAGCACTATATATAATAGGACATGGCCCCAAAGTTATGAGTAAATGAAAGATAAACGCATAAACGAGATTCAGATCCCAGAAACATCTTGTAACGAATGGTTGACTGATCATTAACTCAAGCAAGCAAAGTGCATTATAGAAATTAACTTATAAAATTATTATTCTAGCAGGAGTTCCATAACAGCACAGAATAGATAAGAATGACTGAAATTGGATTAAAAATAAGAATTGATTTATTATGGATGCTTCATTAACTAATCGAACATGGAACATGGAGTACAATTAAAAAGTTATACTGCAATCCTCAGAAAATGTGCAGTTAACAGTAACATTGCAAGAAACTTGAATAATTATTTAATTCCCAGTATCCATAACTCCTTAATAATGTATAATTCACGACAATGGATCATTGAAAAACTCAAACTTTTTCTCCGTAGAAATCATATTTTTACAATTCACAATACATTTCTTTCGTTATTGTGGAGTAAATGAACGATATGCCGACGATACTGTTAATAGTACCATCGAAAAGTATTATAACTAAACGTTGGTAGATAGGTCCTTCTCAGTATGAACTGAATATATCGAAACGAACCATTAAATATATGAGATGAAAATTTAATTCATATATGAATTATAACTCATGAATAACAAGCTCCGCATTATCCATTAACAAATAATTAATCGCTAATGAGTGGTTTGATTGAAAACGTCTCACAAACGTCGTATTGATCAACAATAAAAATTTTATTGCTATTTAGGAACGATGGAGTTTTCCTAATAAGGTAAATTATTGATACACACCTTTATACAGAGATGTGACTGTCCCAGCAGCGGTTTGAAAGGGTAACCAAAGAGATGCTCCCTGTGTACGATCTAAACAACCCAACAACCACAAAATTAGCAACGATGGTTACTAAAACTTTAAATTTTAATTTTAACAAAATTTTAATGTTCTCTAAAATTCAATGAAAGAAGTTCTACAAACTAATTAGCAAAATGGATGAGAGACTAAAAAAAGTGTCGATATTAATAAAAACAAAAGGCAAATGGAAAGAGAGTCTGAGTAAATGGTTTTACAAACAAAACTGAAGGTGTGGTCAGTCCCGACGTAAAAAAAATTCAAAAAACGCTTGATTCTATCTGATTCCTCTTGCCTTTGTAAAGCTGGGCAATGGCTGAGGCTGTTGTCTGGAAGCCCGTCCATATCTGTTGAGAGTATATTTCCTTTTCATTGTGCAACTGGCTCTCATAATCGGGCTCTGATTCAATTGCTTGGACGCACTGTTGTTCCCAATTGCTATACCACAGGTCCATTATCGGATCATCATCGCTCCTATCGTGATCACTCATTGCACTTAAAAAAAATTAATCCAAACGCACTTAAAAATTTTTTTTGTTCCCTTCAGTTCAATTTTTTCAGCTCTCTTAGCAACAGCCGCACAATACTCACTATCGATTCGGGATCTATAATGACAATAGAGAAGTCAAGTGCGTACAATTAATGAAGGGCTATTGGGTGAATTTATTTTGGAAGCATACAACTTCCACGAGAAAACAAGACTTGAGTGCCACACGACGAAGGTCAGGTTGCGGCCATTACAAACGATACCCGTTTATCTCACACACTTTCATGCCACGAACTATATGCGTTACAACATCTGAGGATTGGTGGGGTAGGATGAGTGCTTCAAATTAACTCTTTTAGGGTGAGTAGGTACTCTTCAGGTATATAGAGCCCAAAGATTTAGCCAATGTTTGGATTTTTCGATAATTACAGGTTTAGAAGTAGAGAGAACTTTGAAGTTATGAATGGACTATGGCGCACAGTCTCCCATCTGAATCCGTTTTTTCGTTTTTGTGAGGAGAACACGAGTTTTTAGCCCCCTCTTCATTGCCCATTGATACGCTTCATGCGCATAGCCGCCCATGGGTGAGTTCACAATGCACCCACGTTATTTACCCTCAGACTCAATAGAGAGCGCCACAGGTGGCTACCACCAGATAAGGCAAAGAGGAGAAAGTAGAGGCTCAGTTCTCGGGGTTTGAGCGACCCCAACGACAACGTAGTTGCACCCCACGGGAGTGAGGGCGCCACGAGCGCTACTGGGGTGTTTGCGTGTCGGCCAAGCCTGTTACGCCTCAGTAGCAGTCCCGCTGTCACAGGGGCAAACTCGAACGTAGAGATGAAGTTCTCTGCGTCTTGAAAATGTATTTGATTATTTTTCAGCCCAAATATAGTGTTTTTAGGTTTAGAAGATTGGTTTATTATTTTCGCCAGGGAGAGAAATCTTTTCAGTGAGCCAATTAGCTAAGCATGTACCAGGAGCTAGATAAAATATTCAAATTGGTATGTTGGCACGTAGCCTCCGTACTCGATTCGCACTTAGCGTACTCGGGTT